GCAGGAGATCGGACTAGATGACCCCCAGAGGTCTCTCTTCAACCAAGACTTCTGCGGTTCTAGAAAACATTTCTTTGCCAATGAAACATTAGACAGAGGAGCAATTTCCCAGATTTGGAAGCAACAGGAAAAATGCCCCACAAGTGGTGTTAACTGCTAGTAAATATGGCATGAAGGACGTGAATTGTCCCAGAAAATTGAGGCATATGACCAGTAGTCAGAATGTTTCAGTTGGAAGGAACCTTTAAAGAGCATCTAGTCCAACGCCCCTGTCATGGACAGAAACATTTTTCACTAGACCAGGTTGCACAAAGCCCCATCCAACCTGACCTTGAATGCTTCCAGTGATGGGATATCAACAACTTCCCTTGGCAATGCGTTCCAGTGTCTCACCACCCTCGTCATAAAAACTAGAGCTGACATTTCTCCAACCTAATGCCTAGGCCACTTTCCCAGTTACTCCACATTTTTATTCCCAATGTATTCTCAGGGACATCTTGATCAAGATGAAGAAGGGAAATAGTAATCCACTAGAACCCCAGAGAGAGGAAGATTTTTCTTCCTGTGGAAGCAGACAGAAAATGAAAATCCAAATATTATTAGCAAGGAGGCTAACACTGATCAAAGTGCCAGCATCTACAGGTGGAATCATACTTGCAAGTTTCTGGTACTCGGCACTGTCTGGGCTGGTGTTCTCCAGCAGGTCTCTGAGGAAATGCTTGTACCTGAGACAGAGAGAGGAGGTTTATTTCATCTCCTATTAGTGACACAGTGATGAACAATACTCCACCAGGAGATGGAATACATGCCTCTAAGCCTAACCAAGCAGCTTTTGGTCACAATTCTTCAAATTTATCAACTAAATTAACCCAAGTATTTATACATTTGCAAGCCTTTGGCATTTCCTGGAGATCTGATAAAAGCAACCTCATGTATTACTTCAGTTCATGAAACTCTCTTAGCATGCACATAAAAATGCCTTCAGTAACAGACAAATTTCTCTTTGAACTTTTTTTTTTAAGATGTCTGAATGCTAGCATTCATACCATGTTTCCTGCCCACACAAGAAAATAAAGGCATTTCTATAAGAACTAGGAGCCACCTTTTTCTTTTTTGCTCTCCAGAAAGGATCAGATCTCCATAAATGCCTTCTCCCAATAAAGTCAAACTATTTTCAGTCTGAAATGACAGAGAAAAATATCAAAATATCACATCAAATAGGTTAATGAACTGACAGAAGTTATATGAATAGTTCAGAGAAACTTGAACGTGAACCAAAAATATTTCTGTTAAAAAACCACCATTTTTCCAAACAGTTGGGCAGCAACAAATACACTGCTGTTTTACAAATTGAAACGAACGATCCAAAGAATTACAGTAAAAAGCAAGCTTACATTTATATCTACCAAGCTGATTAAAAAGGTTACAGAAATCTACCTGAAAGACTATGGTATGCTCCCTCCAAGTTATTTTCAAAGAAACAAGGCGCTCAATCTCTCAAATTTGCTTTAGCATGGATAAGACCATGGTTGAAGAGCAGCTACTCGATCTACAGCTGCAGCAGCTGGGTTCCCAGAAAAATGCCTGTGCTTCGTATTACCCACATACCCTCCCCAAGAAAGGGCAGCCCTTGAGTGCATGCAGCCCTTGCCTCAGGTAGTCAGCCTGCCTCTTCAAAGGGGAGATGATGCCTCAAGGGGGGAATACAGCAATCCAGACTGGATCTGTCCAGGCTCAGTCAACTGTGATTAGCACCAAATCTGAGGAAAGCATATGGCCCCGATAACCAGAGAGAGGAGAAAAGCTCCTTCCTCTAATCTCTCTCCAGAAGGAACCTCTACAAGAAAGGAGAGTCACAATGCTCCAGGTCAGCAACCTGCACGAAGGTGGAGCAAGATAATTTCTGGCAGAGAGCACCACTTCTGCAGCACTTCAAACAGCTTGTTATTATTCAGGGCCTAATTTCAGTAGCTTACCAAGATGACAGAAAGTCTTCACTTCAGTTCTTCCCAAGAGCTAGATGAAGGGCTTAGGAGCCAGTGCTAAACATAGCCACCTCTCTGCATCATCTCCCATGTGCACTCCCATCATCCATGTATACTGATTCCACTTTACAGGCACATCTCCAGGTCTGTGTCATTTCTGTCTATATGCTCCGATTTTGAGACATGTTAAACAACTTTACCTCCTGTAGCAATCAAGACACTGTTATGTTCCCTTTTCCCTCTTGTACTGACACCTTGAAGACTCAGAATTGCTTACTTACTGGTGCAACCTCTGCAGGGGCAAAGGAAGCAGATCCTCTAGTTTCCTCCCTTGGAACTGAGGTCGAGTCTCCTGGAGTTTCTTAAATCGTCGGAATGACTTACTTTTCCTCAGTTGCTCCTGTGTGCAGCAGAAAAGGTATATAGCTTTGAGACTATAGAAAGAAATATGGGCTTTAGTCCGCACCAGAGCTTGGAACTCTTAAACTTAGAGTTTAGGACTCCAGTCCTAAATGGAAGCATCAATGACTTCTTTTGTGGCCATGGGCAAGCAATTCCCTTTCTCCTGACCACTATTTCCCAGCAGGTAATGGAATTGATATCCTCTCTTCATACACGCACAGCAGTATAAAGCTAGCATACTCAGCAAATGGAAATAAAGAAAAAAAGGAGGGCTGACTCAGATAGGAAAACAAGGAGGCCACTCATTTCAAGACAAAGCAATGCAGCCCTGCATTTCCATCACCTCAAGAAAAGTATCCAAAATGGCTTTTTCCTCTTGGGAAATCAAAAGTGTGAATATATACGTGCAAACAGAAGGGGAACATCCCAGTACATCCTGCAGCTGGGAACAAGTACAGACAAAAACTGGAAGTCCAGTGGTTTAAATTCCAGATAGAGTTGTCCAGATTTTGAAATAAAAATGCATCCTTCTGAAATTTCTTGGAAGACAGGTTGTATTTGGAAAAGTGGGAAGGAAAATTTTTTCTACCTCCACAGAAACAAAAAATGGGGAAGGAAAACGAAATCCCACTGTTAAGATACAGTTAGTGGCAATGGGAAAGACTAGAAGATCCAATAATTCTCCAGACAGAGACCACTGTCTCCTAGTGTTCCCACTGCAAACTCTCCAGGCTTGCCAGCCAAGGAGGAGTGGGAGTAAATACAGAACTCTGAGAAAGCTGTGCTCAGCGTATGCACATACATACACAAACACCAGAAACAAGCTTCAAAAATTTGAAGCTCTAAATAAGCAGAGAAGTTTTCACCATTCTATTACGAAAGAAAGACTGAGAATATTGCAGCAGCCCAGAAAAAGGAAGAAAACTGATCACTCCAGAAACAGCTACAAGATGATGCATCTGTTTCACAAAACAGAGAAAGAAAAAAGAAAGAATCACATTCTGCAAAAGACCATGAAGACTAAAGGAGATACTTACCTTCAAGGTTTTATTTGCCTGCTCCAAATTCTCAGCGTAGTGGCCATAAAGCTCCAGACTCTGACAGAAATTTTCCAATCCTGGTCCCAAATTCCCTCTCTCCAGGTGAAATGACAGAACACTATGCACAAGGAGCAAAGATAGCTTGTGAGGGCTACATTACTGATGGCATTTTCACAGCTCCCCCTGGTTCCCTTCTGTGCTGACCTTCCTTTGTCAGTTGTGGAGTAATCACTAGAGGTGACTTGGAAGTTAAACTTACATTAAAAAGTACAGCACTGGTACAGCACATTAAAGGAAAAGTACAAAAGCAGGGTGCAAGGGGTACGCAAGGAATCCATTCCACAGAAGTTCGCCAGGCAACCTTAAGTGTTGGCAACATCAGGGGAGCTCGATGTGCTGACTATGAGAAACAGCATGGAGGGTGGAGTGGAGTCAAGACACTGCAGCCAGGCTCTGTGATACCACTGCTGGGATGGGAACTTGATGGTACTACAGAACGGGTAAGCTGCATATTTGCTACCCTGGGCCAACACTGTCATTTTTTGGACAAAATACTGTCCTTTAGGTGAACTTTGCTCGTTATAATCTCATTATAATATCAAAACACACCTCCATCCCAAAAGCTACCAGCCTTCAAGGTGCAACCATCCCTCACTGAGCCTGTGCTCGAATTTCTCTGGGCTATACCTTTAAAAGCGAAGCAAGAGAATTTTACACCAGTCATAATAAAGGTATGTATGACTAGAGTCACTCAAGGTCCACCTGAAAGGTAAAAAATAGTATAAAAATATCTTAAGAGAGAAGGATGTTAGGGAAGATACCATCAGTGACAAGTCATGGACCACCTTAGACTTTTGGGATCAGTCGACGGGCTGAGCCTCTCTTCACCCGCCATAGGGACACCTTTGGGTAAGACTTGAACACTGGATTACACCAAGTGCTCCCTGGGAAACCTAGAAATTTCTACAGAATTGCTGTTATAATTTAGTGTGTTTTATAGCCAGGCTGTATTATTTTTATGTAAACTTGCACGTGCTTTGCAGACAGTGAATTTATCACTGTCAATCCAAAGAACTTGTCTATCGGCTGCTGCTCCAATAAACTGCCCTATTATTAATCTAGCTGCGTGAGATCTTTCAAATGTGACCACACGCCGTGCTAGTTCCGTCAAGCGCTGATAGTCTGATACTGGACATGACTGGATTCCTAGAGCTGAACTGGGCATCACTCAGAAACTAAGCCCAGCTGCCCGCAGCCCCTCTGATATCTGAGGACAAGCTGGAAAGCGAGGGGGTTTATTTTCTGCCAAATTCCTTTGCCCTTTAACGCAACGGTCAGTCTCCACCTCACATCCAGTTTCCATGCCAAGTATGCACTTGGTGGTCACACAGTAAGCTACAGAAGACATCCCTCAAAAGTAGTGTGGAGCAGACTTACTGGGTTTAAACCACTATCCAGAGAGCAACTGGGCATCCAGGTAGGTGGATACAGATCAGCATTTTCCAGGGTACTTTCCTGCAAGTGCCATCAAGGCTAGCAGTGCTGGAAGTGAATGCCTGTTTTACAAGGTGTTATTAAGGTTTCAGGAAATAAAGCAGTCTCATCAATATAGGGTCCTCTCTGTATAATTAGAGGAATCACATTGGTGTGTTCACTTACTGGCTGGCCGAACATATGGATTCCAGGGGTCCAAATATGGTTTCCAACACAGCAGGTTTCAGCGTCCCTTTGGCCTTTAAAATTGTCACAAAGAACTAAGTAGGAAAAAGAAGAGAATTTCAAACAGGTAGAATTCACAGGTCACTCAAAGGTTATTTGTGGCATGCAGCAGAAGCAAGAAGGTGCACGCTCTTGGCTTGAAAGGATATCAAATATCATGAAAGCCTACCTAAGATATGTATCATCAAATGTAGGCCTTCTTGGTAAGTTTGAGCGTAACTGTAAACATGTGGCATAACACTACAGCACTGATAGACTCTGTTTCAGTAGTCCTAGATGCATCGGTTTTCCACCACCTTGTTCATAATCTGTCTTTCTCCTGCCTGTGCCCCTACATTTCGTACATCTCAAGCATCTGAAAGCAAGTCTCCTGTACAATCAAAACTTAAAGATTACGTCTGTGTACAGACCAAAGCAAAGGGGTCAAAACACTTGTTGGATATTACAGAAGAGGTAAAACAACAAAAAAAACTTTCAGCCCCAGCAGTTGTCCCATGCAGCAGGGATGTATCAAAGCCTTGCTCTTGACCCTTCCCCATGACAACATATATAAGTACATGCTGCCTGAAGGTACCCACATATCAGAAGGGACTGAAATACTCACTGTGACAACCAAATCCAACTGCTCAAGGTATTGGTGTTCAGTTTCCAGCAGCTCCATGGCTATCCGGCTGCGCTTTCTCTCCCATCGAGCCCTCTGCTCTTCCACTGTGTTTGCTCCAGCCATAAACAGCAGGGACAAGTCACTCATGGCAGCCTCAGGGCTGATATACAGAAAGGTAACCGATCCTGAAGAGCTAAGGGAGTTGTACACACAACATAAGAGTAATCTATGCCACAGGGTAGGATTCCGAGCTACAAACTCAACACTTCACTGTGAAAGAAGGGAAGTCAATTGCCAGAAACTGTTATTAACAGTTTCCTTCTGCATTCCTACTCATGGGTACAGGAGCCCTGCATCAACCAAAGGAACAGTGTTAGAAAGACCAGACTGTGAAAGCAAAAGCAGTACATTACAATATGTAGGTAAGCCAGCTTCAAGTGTACAGTCCCACACACAAACCACTCCCGTGCTTTGCCCCATTCTTTGTGCAAAGTTCTCAAACCCAAGTAAGCTAGTAGGTGGAACAAGTTCTGTGGGTAGGAGTAGAAAACAGCCATAAGATTTGTTGGGGGCAGTGGGAGGGAAGAGAGAGAAAGACAGCACTCTTGCTTGTTTTCCCACGGAGGTTCCCAAGAAGCAAGCGGTTTGCATTGTCATTTTCTAAGAGTAGTTTGTGGTTTCAGAGATGCGAAAGATGGAGCAGCTGCTATGAATCACACTATCCACTTATTGACCAGCTTCACTGCTGCTGTGTTTTTCTGCAAAAGCACCATGGTTTTGTTACAGAGAAAAACACTTCCTCTTTTATCATCTTCTCTCAGAGAAAGAGATGTGTATAAGCAGAGCACCAGTTAAATATTGCTCTGCCTTTTGATCAAAAGGCAGTGCAGGCTGTTGCACACTTGCCATGGCATGAAGCCTGCAGTTTCTCGGGAAGCTGAGCTACCTCCACAAAAGTTCTGGCTCCCGCATAGACAAGCTATACTAATACAGAAAGATACATCATTGTAGAGAACAGAATTTGTCAAATACAGTACTCCAGAGATATTTCAGATATCTAAATCAATGTCTGAACCAAAAATTTCATATCAAATGAGTACACAGACTCATTTAATGTGTTAGTAGAAACCCAGACAGCTGGGGGACACATGGAGTATTTTATAGTAGCAGGAGCTTCTCCAGAGGTTTGTCATCGTATTTGCTCATATTTGCCTAGCCGAGGTCACACCTTGGTCAAACGGGGCAGACCTGGCACCCCTGTGGATATGGAGGTAGCGCTGCAACGAATACCACACAAGAGCTTAGCATTAGTGTGCAGTTGCAAAGTACTTACCAATAACAGACTAAAATTCACAGAGCACCTTTAGCCAAGGTAGGCTGCAATCACGATTTTAATTTTGCAGTCCAATTTCTTTTAACAAATAGTAACAATAAAAAAAGTTAGACCAGGTTTGACCATCTCCCACTCGCATAAAGCGGTGCAAACATTCCCATTATTCCAAAATATATTACATTCTAACTGTCTCAGGTCTGTAGGGTGAGAGCTGTCTGGAGCCCACAGCTAGACAAGAAAACACTCCACCTACAGCTGACAGAAGCACTCCAGCTTGCTCTTCTCACTCAGAACAGAAACCACTGAATGCTTTCTGTACATTTAACTACCTTATGATGCCCCATTAGCAATATCCCCTGCAACATTTCTAAATTTTCTATTTTGAACATCCTCCAAAAAACCTCCGTTTATTACCGCAAGCATTAACCAGCTCGTGGGTCAGCTCCAGGGGCCACACACCTCCACACCCCACCCCGGAGGGGGAGGTGACTGCTGTGGAAGGCTCAGCCTCGGAGGCCGCAGGGCGGTTCTTTTACCTGCTCCCTCCCTCAAACCGGCTCACCACCGCAGCAGGCCGGCCTTCCACCCGAGGGAGCGGCTCAGCGCTGCTCCAAGG